TCTGGAGTGGGCCGCTGAGGGCTCTGGCAGACACTCAGGAGAACTGAGCTCTTTGACAGTGAGCAGGCTTCTCTCTGCACTGAGCCTCCCTGCTGGGATCAGGGCGCACTTGCCACAAGATTTGGACAGGGCCACAGAGTGGAGTGGCGGGAATGAGGAGACTCAGGACCCAGCAGCGGGACAGTGTGTTTACACTGGCCCTTGCTCCTTCCCTCCCCAGAGAGAACACTCACTTTCACATCAGCCTTCAGAGGCCGAGGGCGTGGCAAGGGCCTGAGCCTTAAAAGACCTCAGTGTCCCTTCCACAAGGTCTTCCTCCACTTTCATAAACAGGAAAGTGCTTGCAAGAGAGCATCACAGCCGAAAGCACTTTGCCCAGGACTTGGTCCTGGAGCCATGGGGAGGACCTCCTGACCAGGTGGGAAGCTCAGGGGCTTTCTTTTTCTTTTTTTTTTTTTTTTTTAATATTCATGTTTTTAGTTGTAGTTGGACACAATATCTTTATTTTATTTTATTTATTTTTATGTGGTGCTGAGGATCGAACCCAGGGCCTCACACGTGCTAGGCAAGCGCTCTACCGCTGAGCCAAAACCCCAGTCCTCTGGGGCTTTCTTAAGCTTTCTGAGGCACCCGGCCTGGAACCCTGGTCTGCCAATGTGGGAGGCCTGCAGTTCAAAGCGGGCATCCCTTCCCAAGCATCGGGCAGGCCCATGTTGGAGAGTTGAGGGCTGCTGTGGGGTTTCTCCGCTGCTGCTCATAGGTGACCAAGGTTCAGCCTCATGGGAGCCTATAGTCAGCTGCCTTCACTCCTGTTTTACAGATGTGGAACGTGTGACCTGCCCATCTGGGTGGCCGCAGAGCCAGGACTTTGGCATGGGTTTCTGACTCCTCAGCCAGTGTCTCTTCACTCTGAGTGACATTGCAGTGCAGGGTTTGAGGACAATAATGTAACTTTGGAGCTGTTACTGTGGGCTGCTTGGAGGCTTTTGACTTCTCTGTTGTAGACTATGCTTCTAAAATTTCTCCTGGAATGGCTCTTGTCTGAGTGCCCGTATATTGGAGGGTCGCTAGATTACAGAATTCCCATCTTAGAGACCCTCCTTAGTTATACTTTTAGCCTCACTCTATGACTGTCTCTTGGGATAAAGATCTCTCTTCCAAGTAGGAGGAGACAGATCCCTGCACACCATCTCGGGAGCGTGCTATTCATCATAGGCCCTGTCTTGTGTGTAGTGAAACTTGGCTTGTGGACTGTTTGGATTGAAATTGGTGGTGCTCTGCGTCAGCTGTGTGAGTCCAGCCCACACTAAAACGTGAGGAGTCAAGTGATCGGACTCCAGCTCTAGGCAGACACTGGGTGCTCAGCACAGGGGCTGGGCACTGCAAAGCACCACAGATCCCTGTCCCACAGGTACGCACCCTCCAGGTGGGCATGCCTGGAAGACAATGAGAGAGAAAAATTAAGTGCTAACTGAATGCAGTCCCCAGGCTCTTAGAGAAAGGGAAGGTGGTCATTTGAGGCCTTCTAAGAGGACTGGGATTAAAATAGGGTTTTGGTTTTGGTTTTTAAATCTCAGAGTCCCTTGTTCAGGGTTGTCTTAGACTCCTTCTGTATTAAGACAGATAAGGAGGAGCTGCTGCTTGAAGAGGGTGGACAGCCTGACTTGCCCACTCTGCCTCTGTCACCTGGGAAGCCCCGTGTTCTAATAAGACTATGGCCATAGCTCTAACTGCCTGGTGGGTGACTCTTAACTGTTTATTGGGTGACACCCAAAAGTGTCACCTACCAAACATCGTGGCACTCCAGGGTGCTCTCTGGAAAACTGGGCCCAGAATATGTACGTGGATGGCAGCCACCCATCCCAGTGGATGGGAGGGGAAGGGAACTTGTGTCCCAAGGCTGGGTTTGGTTGTCTTAGAGCCAGAGTGGAATGGATTGCTGGTCCCTGTCCCCTACAGGACAAGAGCTCAGCGGTGAATTGGAAGCAAGCCAGCAGGTGTGCACACATCCAAGCCACACCCATAGTGAAGGCTGTCCTGGAGGCGGGGTCTACAGCCCCCAAGGGGATACACAAAGAAAGTCAGAGGGTACCATCTGGATAGGAGCTGGCCGGATGTCTGAGGGGGAAGGGTGACTCCCAGCAGAGGCCACGACGTGGAGCATAGCACACACAAGTCCCAGAGCCTGTGCCGAGGCTCAGGGAGCTGCTGACTCCCACGTGAGGAGTCCAAGGTCATTGTAGGAGGAGGGGCCAAAGGGAATGGAAGGTGGAGCCAAGCTGGAAGGCCTCGATGTACCCTCAGAGAAGCTTAGGCTGGTGGCACAGACAGTGGCAGGGCTTGGTGAAGTAGGTCCCTTTGGCAGCTCAGCTACCAGACCAAGGAAGTCTCCTTGGAGCTAATCTGGAGCCTCAGTATGCGGGAGTGAAAAGCAGACGAGAGGGTGGCTGTTGGAGCCCGTGCCTGGCCCGGAGAGGATGTGGTTGGGTTGAGAAATTCCACTCGGGGTCACTCATGCTAATGGAATGTCAGCGGCGATTGGGGGTGCAGCCTGTGTTGATAGAAGCTGCCGCGCTGACAGCTCAGCTTTCCACCCCTTCTGTGCCAGGCACGTGGTGCAAACAGGTCTGCCAGGGACCCATCCTTCCCTCGGGTGCAGGAGCAGGCGTGGGAAGAGGGCTCTGGAAGAAAGAAGCTTCTAGGGAGATGTGTGGGTGGCGGAGAGTGCGGGAATGCTGCATGGCCTGTCTGCCCAGGAACTGCCCCAGCCTAGCCCAGGTCCTGTTGAAGTCACCTGCGCAGGGAAGTTGCTGTGGCTGGCCAAGGGGAGGTGTGGTCTGGGCCTGGGCCTGAGCCAGGGAGGGGCTTTCCCTCCTCAGCCTGTAGGACACAGAAGTCTGCTCCAACCTTCCCCTTCTTCCTCCTCACCCCAAACCTCTCTCCCCGACTCCAGCCACATCCCACCCCTCCCTCCTTTTCATCCAACACCAGCTCCAGCAAGACCCCTTCTCTTTTCTTTTTCTGCGCTGAGTCTGAGCCAAAAATACAGCATCTGGTTCTCTGGACAGTTTGACATTTTTAGCACTGTAATTATTACCTTGAAGACAGAATTTGTGTCTTCTACTTCATATTTCCCAAAACAAAGGCACCTAGAGCGGGGCCCCTTGAAAGTCTGGGAAAGAAAAATGGGGCAGCAGGGTCAGTTCTCCCCAACAGCTGCCCACAGGATGCCAAGAGCTGTTCTTTGGGGATGTGCCCATAGGGAGGCTACAATATGAAAACCCGGGGTTCTGCCCCCAGGACCCCAGAGGCCAGTGGCTGGTCATGAGTTAATGTTCAAAAAGGGTACCAAAGATTGGGGAAAGTTTCAAAGTCAGACTTGGGAGGTGGATGAAAATGGAGAGGAGAGGCCATGTCGGGGACCTGTGTCCAGGGACAGGAAAAGCATCTTTGAGGAGAAGTGAGGAAAAAAATAATACATGCCAGAACCCCAAACTCTTCTTCCAAAAGGACAATGGGGAAACATTTCACCCCCCTCCTTCTCTATCAACAACTCACAGTCTAAGATGGGGTGAGAAGAAAGGCTCAGAATGAGCCATGGAGCCCTGGCCTCATTGCAGAGGAAGAGGAGGCCAAGACCCCAATTGAGGGGGTGGGTGGGAGGGCCAGCACCCAGAGGGAGGCCAGCCTTCCCTGGTAGGGCTGCCCCTTCTGCAGCCTGGAGCTCTGGGGCGCAGGCGCTCCATGCACCACCGGGGTAGGGCTGTGCTTCTGCATGGGTGTGATCAAATTCCAGCCTCACAGTCATGTGCTTCACTCAGCGGCCATGCTGTGGATAACGGGGCCTCCCTGCTGACCTCTGAGAACCAGGAGTGACAGCCTTGCCTGGGCCTCAGTGGCTCAGCCAGACTCTCCACAGGCTGCCCAGACAGTGGGTATGCATCAGTACTGCTGGCTCTGCCGGTGGTAGAAGTGTTGCTGGACTCCCTGTCTGGGTACCGCCTCCAGCACCCTCAGACTCCTCAACAGTGGAAAGGCCGACACCTGCCAAGGCAGGGCCTCCGGGGCTCCTTCCAGCTCTTGGTGAGCAAGGAGTCTGATCGGTCTGGGTTCAGTGTTCTTGCTTTCCCTGCTGTGCCCAGGGCAGAGAGGAAGCTGTCCACCCCTCCTGCCCGCTCGCCATTCTAAGGGCTACATCCTTCGCTCATCTTGCCTCAGAGGACTTCAGCTTTTCAGGGAGAAAGTCTGAAAGCTGCTGCCATGATGCAGCAACTGTCCCTAAATAGTGGTTGAAAGGGGGGTTTCATGTCACTTTAATCCCATGTAAGGGGGTCTAGCTATCTTAGGAAATCCAAGGAAGAATTTTGTGATGCAGAGTCCCAGGACCTTCCCAGCATATCCAGGGTCGGGAATCAGTTCCACTTAGTTCCCAGTTCCACTTAGAAGATGTTAATTGGGCAGCTGTTGTGTGCTGGCAAGGTAGAAGGCAGAACTGTGCCCTAAGGTGACCTTTGTTCCACCAGTTTCCTGCTTAGCCTCACTGAGTCATAGCTGCTTTCCCTTATCTAAGGCCCTATCCGGGGCCCCATAGGGCACGAAAGTCTAAAACATGTGTCAGTGGCATGCCGGGAACCGCTCAGCTGAGGATCTGGGGAGGCAGAGCAAACTGCCAGGCTGGGAATCATACCTAACAACACTTTAGAGCGTGGGCAAGATGGCTTGTAATCAGGGGACAGGCAGAAAGAGCACAACGGGCACTGACAGATGCAGAAGAGTGTCTCATGCTTTGACCACACACATGGGGAGAAACAGTCACAGAAAGAAAGAGGCCCAGGGGTACAGTGGAGGCTGCCACCCTCCCATGCGTTCTGTCTCTTGTGGCTGGGAGGTGGGCAGATGGGGGCTGCCCTGGTGGGGCAGAAACCCATGGGGTCCCACTCTTGTGGGAAAGCCTTGCGTGGGCCCTCTGACTGCCACTCTGTCTCTCTCTCTCCCTGCAGCCTGATGTTCACCAAGGTAAAGCTGGAGCAGGTACTAAAAGGCCCAGAGGAAGCCCTGGTGACCTGCAGACAAATGCTGCAGCTATGGCAGACACTCTACAGCTTCTCCCAGCTGGGGTGAGTGGCTGTCGTCATCCCTTGGGTTGCCAGAGGGTGGAGGGCCCAGTTGACAGGCAGTGGTTGCCAGGACAACGGTCCTCAGCTGAGTGTCTGCAGTGCCTGGATGAAAGTATGGAACTTAGCACTCACGGGACTTTGTACATCTACATCTGTGGTTCAGCTTTAACCTCCTGGTAGTCCTCGGTGACCTGCATAAAGACCCAGATTTTGAAATCAAAGCTGAGAGTGGTAAGAAAATAGAGAAACGAGTATTGAACACCTGAGCCAGGTGCTGGGCTTGCCACTTCATCTGACACCTCAGCTGCTTCTGTCCTACACATTATCTGATTTTATCCTCAGCCCAGCAAGGAAACTGACTCAGAGACACTGAGTAATATGGGCCACTCACCTGGCTAGTGGTAGGGATGGGACTTGAACCTGGGCCTCCTGAGTCCCAGCCCATGGAGTCTGTCACTTCTTTCCTGGGTCTTTTTGGTAGTTGGAAGAAGAGGAGGAGGAGGAAGCTCAGGCCAGAGAGCCACCCACACCTCCCCAGTCACCAACAGTCTCCATGCACCCTGTCTCCTGCAGTAGGCCCCAGCCTAGGCTCTGAGGTTTTCCAGGGCCACAGTAAGGCTCTCTTGACCTGGTTGAATCTTTGAAAGTCTTTGCTCAAACCCTCTGTCCAGCCTGCGCAGCCCAAAGGACTTCCTGTAGGGCAGGTGCACTGCCTCTTCCTGTTCCACTGGACCCCACCCTTCCCCTTCTCTGGAATGGTTCCCTGTGTCATTCCCCTAAGGACTCAAGGGACCCTACTCTGGAGGGTATTTGCATTTTCACAGGAATTCTGGGCCCCACAAGGCCTCCAAACTCCCCAGAGGAACCTCTCCTGGTGACATTTACAGAGGTGACCAGGTGGAGTCAGTCTTCCCTCCACAGGCCTTGTAGCCTAGGAGATGCCAGAGCAGAGCAAGACCAATGCATAGAACTGCCAGAAGGAGACTGTGGAGTGAGGGACTTAAGGAGAGGATTGGGAAGATGTAAGGATGAGGGCCAGTCTCCTGTGCCGGGGACCTGGCATTCAGGGCTTCCTCCCTCTGGCGCTGTGGCAGCTGGGGCGGGTGCACAGCATGGCTCCTTTTCTGCAGAGGAGCTCCCTTTCCTTATCTGAGTCCTTATCTAGATGACTGGTTCCCTGCTCATTCAGGTGGCCAGTCTCATTGGGGCACTTCTGGTCGGCATCCTTGTCTTATTTAAGGCCCAACCTTCAATTTAAGGCCTGTACTTCCTTAAAGGGATACAGGATTGCTAAGTGCTGTCACAGGGGCCAGGGGTAGTAGGGTTTGCCTGAGGTCACCTCAAGTCACCACCCACAATGGAACTTGTCACAACAGGAAACCTCTAGGGAACCTCCCCCCAGACCCCCACCAAGGATAGGGCATGGCTTACCTAGGCCATCTGCCTGGACCAGGGGCCTGAATCCAGTACCTGTTTGGCTCTCCCAATCTGGGTGTGGAGTTCTTCAAGTTAGGGAGCATGATACACACGGCAAGTAGTTCCCAAATATGGAGCGATCTGCAGCCCTAGGAGAGGCCCCTTGGGATGGAAGAAACAGGAGACAGGAAACTGTTCCTGCAGATCAGGTACCTGGACAGGAAGCCAGAAATATGCAAGGCGCCTGCCGGGACTGTCTGATTTCCCCTCACAAAAGCCCCGTGAAGTGGATGTCGTCATGCTCGTTTCCAAGAGAGAAATTTCATGAGAAAGGTCAAGTAACTTCGCTGAGGGTCACACAACCAAGAAGGGGTGGCCCCATGGTTTTAACCTAGTGTCTCTGGCCTGCACTTGGATGCCCCCAGGGAACGGGAAGAGGGTGGGAGAAGACCGCCTGACCTGAACCACTCACTGTGCTATGAGGGGTGGGGCCCTCTAATACCCAATAAGATGATTGCATCCACAGGCCCAGATTGGGGCCAGCATGAGCCTGAGTTTGGATGGCAGAGACGCCTTGGATCCTGGCATTTTGCAGGACCATCGTCTAGGCGTCCCTTAGAAGGGAAGATACCTTCTGACCTTCTGGCCCAGGCTGGGCTGCTTCTCTCCAACCCTTTCTGCTGCAGATCTACTCTAAGTGTCCCCAGCCCACAGGTTCCAGGGTCGTGGGCTTCCTCAGCAGTGGGAAGGGGCTGGCTGGGCTGCACATGCCCCGGGAAGGGCCCACCAGGCTCATATACCTTTCTGAGCTGGCGGCTCCTTCCTGGCTTCCCCAACTGAGAAAACTGTACGGGAGCTGCAGGAACCTGGGGAATTGAGTGGGGGGCAAGAAAGGGTCACCATGCTTCTTTATATCCCCCCAGGGGCCCCCACTGGCTCTCCTGGGACCACCCTGGCAGCTGGAGGTAGGGGATCCTATGGCAGGATTCACAGGATCAACTGGGCCCTCCTTCCCCAGGGCAGGCCGGGGCACTCCTGGTGCCTGTGAAGACCAGGCAGGCTTTCCTAGGAAGCCAGTCCGGGTTCCCTGCACTGAAGGAGGTAGGGTAGAAAAAGCCTCAAGTGACCTAGGGATTTCTAGCCCCCCTGCCTCAGAGGAGGGCGTAGGCAGTGTGGGAGGGTTTCCAGTCCTTGGCCTGTGTGATGTGGGACCCACGCTGAACCCTCTACGTCTCCGGTTGTCTTGGTCCTTCCCTATCTTTCCAGGGACTTGGGCTCTGTTTCTGGGACATGAGTTCTCAGTCCCAGCTAGCCCTGGAGGACACCAGCCTCTGCCTCACCAGGTCCTGCCCTCCCTTGCTTTCCAGAGGCCTGGAAAAGGATGGCAGCTTAGGTGAGGGCCACACGATAAAGAAGCAGAGTGGCATGCACCTGACCCTGCCCGATGCCCACGATGCAGATTCTGGTAAGAATGTGCCCTGTGGGCAGCTCTTCACATGGAACCAAAGCTCACTGTCCCAGCCTGAGAGGACCAAGGGAGGGGGGCATCTGCGCAGCCTAGCCAAACCCATCGCTGCTCCTTGCTGCTGCTTCCCAATGGTCTGGATGCTCAGGGGTGGCCCTCAGACACCTTTCAGGCTGATCTTGACTCAGGGTAGGACTGACTGCTGGCCCTGGGTGGGTGGTGGGCAGCTGAGTGGGCAGGGGTCAGGCCTTACCTCTGGGGTAGGTAAAGAGAGAGAAGACTTGGTTGGAAAGACAGCCTGGAGCAGAGACGACTTCCCCTAAGGCCAATGCCAGACGCCAGCGGCTGCCTCATACCCCGGTAGATGAGTCAAACAGAAAGGAATGAGCAGAGCTCTTCAATTCTACGCTCAAAGCTGACTCTTTTCCTGGAAAAACTCATCCTGAAACCCAGGCTTGTGATATTCAAATGAATTGGGAACTACAAACCTACCATGTTTAAGCTGAGGACCTGATTAAAGCAAAACACCTTCCTCAAAAACACAAGAAGAGTTAGTCATGGGAATGAAAGTGTGAGTGGAATTGTATTTAGTGGAATTGCTCATTTTTTTTTCACTTCTGTGAACTGGAGCCAAGGTGCAAGTGATGGGGTTGATTTCAGCAGCCTAACGTTGCACCTGAATTTAGGGCCCATCCCAGGGGTGCTTGGCTGCTTGTGGAGGGACTGGTTAAGGGGGTGGGGCAACTCCCATGCAATTAAAGAGGTAAGAACCATGCTCAGAGTTATTAGGACTCCTTGTACACTTGTCCCATAAACTGACATCATCTGTGGTGTGCCTGAGGTCTCCTGAGTTTATTGGAGCCTTTATTGCCTCTCTGAGAGGGAGAAAGTGCTCGCATTTCACCTGCATGGGAATTATAAATGTCAACAGCTTATATATCCTGAGCAGGGCCCGCACCACCCAGAACTGACACGGGAGAGGTTCTCTGAGGGCACAGGTCTGACTCAAGCTGCTCCCCAATTATCCCTCAGGTCTCAGCCATGAATGGGACTTTTACACATACGAAATGATAATGTGCACTTGTAAAAATAGCCAAAGGAGAAAGAGAAAAGTCATTTCTCATTTCACCACCCAGACTTCAATAAATAAATGGCCCTTCAGAATTTTTTCCATGTATGCCCATATTTATTTTTCAAAAATATGGTTATTTTCTTCTGTTCCTTGCTTTTTTTGCACCTAACTGTGTAATTAATATGTACCTCTTTTGGCATCCGTATCCACATGTATACATTGTTATTGTAATGACTACAGGCTTTGGTGATTATACCCTCACTTGTTTTTAATTATCCCTATTATTGAACATTTGAGTAGTTTCTGTTATTTTCAATATTACAGGCAGGAGTCGAATGAGCATCTTTGCTGACATTTATGATTGTTCTCCTCAGGGATAGATTCCCAATGGGATTTACGCCTAATTGTCCCTTAAAAATCTCCTCTTTCCATATGTGGCTGAGAGTAGGTGGTGGGCCCTCCCTAGTGGATCTGAGAGCTTGTCAGATTTCTGGCTGCCAGGCTGTGCCACCCTGCCCTGACCCAGGCGCCCTGTCTGCCCGTTGGAGCTGAGCTCTGACTGCCCCGGGGACCTGCAGCATGGGGCACCCTGACTCTGCTGCTCAGCCCTGTGCCCTCCTTCTCTGCAGGCTCTCGGCGGGCATCATCCATTGCAGCCTCGAGGCTTGAGGAGGCCATGTCAGAGCTGACCATGTCCACCTCAGTCCTGAAGCAGGGTCCCATGCGGCTGTGGACCACGCTGGAACAGATCTGGCTGCAGGCTGGTGAGTATCCCCAGTCCCAGCCTGGGAACTGGGGCTCAGGGATACTCCCAAACCTGGCTGAAGCCACCCAGATGTTCAGAGCCCTGCCCTGTCCTGGAGCGGGGAGGTAGAGGCTCTTGACAAGGCTCAAATGGGCTACAGAGTGCTCGCAGGTTCAGGAACCTGGTCTAGTTCCAGCTGTTTCCTCCTTGCTTGCCTCAAGCAAGTCACTTAATCTGTCTGGCTATGGGTTTCCTCTTTGCCCAATAGGAAGGGTGCCTGCCTCCCTACCTGGGAGAGGTTCTCTATGGCAGATCCAAATGAGAGAGGTTCTGAGGTCAGGAGAGGCCACATAAATGGATAGGCCAGAGGGCTGGTAAGGTGGAAATGCTGTCCAGTTGGCAGTCCCTCTGGGTCACCAGGCAGCACCATTGCCACTGAAGAGTCTGCAGACCAGTGAGTGCTGGGGAGGCAGCCTTCAGGGAGGCCCAGCTTCAGTCACACAGACCTGGGTTCTGATGCCAGCTCACAACTAGCCAGCCCTGGTCTCAAATGAGCTTATGTATGAAGAAGTTACTGCAGCACATAGTAGGTGCTCAGCAAATGGTGTTTGGCTTCTGTTGTGCCAGTTACAGTTGTGACGGAGCCAGAAGCCACGTGGTGCCACAGACTGAGTCTCCTTGTGCTTGGGAATGCTGAGGAGGGACTCCATGGAAAGTATTTGACAACTTGACCTGACCGTGGTGCAGGAGGTGGATTAGAGTGAAGAGACAGGGAATCGAGGCCAGAGAGGACAAGTGACTGAATAGAATACAATGGCAGCGCAGAAGAATAGAGGAAGATGAGAGACGAGTGGAATCCTGAACCTGCCCCTGAACCTGCCCCGGGCCCAGCATGGCCTCAGTCCAGAACTGCCCGAGGGATACTGTGGGTGCAGGGACGCCTCCTCACCCTTGTTCTGCCTACCCTCCTCTCTGCTCTGACCCACTACAGGGATGGGGCTGCAGCCCCCAAGGAGACATGGAAAAGAAATCAACCAAAAGTAGATGATCAGTTACCAAGACATGCAGCTTTGGCAAGTCATCCTTAGAACGTGCTTGTTAGCTGAGAATCTAGGGTTTCCTGTGGCATGTTTTCCACATATGGACGCATTAGCATGCAGCACGCCTCCGCTGTCCCTATCATAGGTTCTGACTATGAAAAAAGAATTGGACCAGGAGTCACAGAAAGGCTAAGAGATGGGAGCATTTTAATAATGCAAATATTGCCCCAGTTAGCATCTCAGGGTCCTTCGGATGCTAGGGATGTGGGAGGTGTGTTCCACAGCTGTTGGGTCTTAAATAGGAAGAGGAATGTTCAAGAATGCAGAGGAATAATACCAAGGCCTCCTCCTGAGCAAAGATCCTCCTGTCCTATTCTGAGACATGGAGCACCGTATCGCTCTCACAAAAGCTAGATGCTTATTTCTTATTTCTTTCTCACGTAACAATTCGGAGATGACAGCCTCAACTGGGATGGCAGCTTTGCTGTCCCTAGGGTGTGGCTCTCACCTATGTGGTCCAGGATGGTTCTCTGCTACAATTGACATTCCAAGGCATAAGATAAATGTGGAAGCGAGAAAGAAGACACCCCGTCCCCGTAAGGACACACCTGGAACTGGTACACATCACTGTTCCTCATGATCCATTGGCCTAAACTCCATGATTTGTCTAGCCCAACTGCAAGGGACTCTGCTCCATGGGGAATGATGCTTATTTCCTTTGGGGTCACCAAACTGTCCCCATGGCCGGGGGCTAGGCTAGCCAAGGTGGGTTCCTTTTAGGGTCTAATCTGTTTTCTTTCCCACCTCCAAGCCAACATGGTGTCCTCCTTTTCTTTCTCTTTTTTCTCTCTCCCTTTTCTGAGGTCTTGGGGCAGGTTCTCTGTAGGAAGCTCAGCTCACCTCTCCAGGTGAGGGCTCTCAGCACCCCGCTTCTCAGCACAACATCAACCTGAGGGTGTGGAAATGGGCCTGCGGCAGAGAGCCTGGGCTTCAGCAGGAAGATGGGAGCCAGCTCTAGGTGCAGGGTTAGACCAGGATGCCTCTGAAAAAAATAATAAAAGGGACTCTTGCAAAGCTCCAGGGAACAGATGTTTTCCATTTGTAGCCTGCGGAGAGAAAGCAAAGAAGAGGGGGTAGGGAGAGAGGGAGCAAAGAGGAAAAAAACCAACCAGAGACAGATGGGCAAGAGAGGAGGTCAAGAAGTAGACAGGGAGGATGATGAGACGGAAGGGACAGGAAGGAAGAAAGTCAAGTCGTTGAGGAGGTCCAGGGCGCCCTTTGACACTCAGAGAGCAGCAAGGCCCTGCTCACTGGGGTGACACATCAACAAGGAAAAGCCGTAACAGTGAGTGCTCATCCAGCCCCAGCCAGGGGAGGCCAGGATGGGTGTGGGCACCACAGGCCTGGAAGCCAGGCTGGGAGTGGGAGGAGCCAGGCTGTGGTGGGCACAGTGCCATGGGTCTCCTGCTGTAGCCTCTTCTGGCTGGCTGGCCAGCAGGCTGGCTGGGAGCACCATGTTTGGTAAAACAGTGAGCAGGAGCCAGGGGCATCTGCCTAGGGACACTGAGGCTAGGAAGAGGGGGGCACTGCAGCCCCCAGACCTGTGGGCCCGCCTGCCGGTCAGAAGCCCTGTCCTGGAGGCCCGGCCCATGAGGCTGTCTGCAGTGTGGCCTGAAGCCCTCGGGAGACCTCGCCTCCCCGGCCCTGTTCTGTGTCATCTGCTTTCCTGCCTAAGTGGTGATGAAGCCCATTGGAGTGAAGCAGCCCGACCCATTTTCAGGGCATGTTCCCTGATGTGTGGCCCACAACCAAGCCTGAGGCCTAGAAAGCCCCAGGGCCCCAGCACTCCCTCTAAGTGAAATCTGTTGATGTGAACGCACTAAGAAGAGTTCCCAAGGGAGGGACCGGGGACAGCCTCCTGAGGGCTTGGGAGACAGGACCTCAAGTTGTAAACAGCTTAATGAGTCACGCTGGGGCCAAGTGGGCCCAACCTGGAGTGGGACTGCTGGGGAACGGGCTGGGCATGGAAGGCCAGACCCCTGGGCCCTCAGCTAAACTGAGCTTCAGGCCCCAACTTAAATATTACTTCCTCCAGAAGGACCTTCCTGACCACAGTGCTGACTTGATCCGTCCTGAGTGTCTATGATACCCAGAATTGGCACTTATCACTTCACTGCCCTGAGTCTCTCAAGTTCTTAAGTGGCTCAGCTTCCCCACCCCACCCCTGTTTTTTCTCCTTCTCATGGGAAGACTGGGTATACAGTCAGTGCTCAATAGTTGTATATTAGAAACTCAGTTATAAAGGCAACCGGTTCAGAGGCCCTGGCAGTGGCTCAATAGCAGAGTGGAGAAGGAAAGCTGACACCGAGAGTCAAATCCCCAACCACTGGGCATCCCTCTCTGCAAGGTCCTGGGCACAAAGCCCCGTCTCCCAGCCTCACCTTCCTATGCTATGCCTTGGGAATCTCAGACGTCTCTGGGGACAGGAGCCTGCATCTCTCCCTTTTACTCTATCATGAGAACCTGGCTTCTTTGTGTTTACTTCTCTCATTCTCCCAGTTCTCTCTTCTCTAATCCAGAAAGGGTCCCCTTACTCCAGAGCCCTCTGTAACATTTCGCATGTGCAGCTGCTTGGATTGCACAATGAGCCTTACACAATGTTCATGTTGAGGACCACAGTGCCGCGTGTTGCAGTTAAGGCCTTAGTTAGGTCTCCTTCCTGCTGCTTATGGGGTCAGGCAGGTGGGGAGCCTGATCCCAGTTTATCAACCTCTTTCTGGGAGTCCCCCACCCCAGACATGCTCTAAACCGGCATAACCTCAGCTCCCAGCCCTTGCTAGGAAAAGCTCTTGGCAGAGTCACAAGCCAGACTCTGCTGGCCTCCCGCGCTCCCCATCTGTGTTGCCATCCTTCTGTGACTTCCGCATGGGCACCAGCCCTAGGAGGGGGCAGCGGAGTCTGGGGGCTGCTTTGAAAGGAAGGCAGAGTGGGCTGTGGGGCCCGCCGACAGGCAGCGTTTCTAAAAGTGCCCGCGGTGGGCGTGGGCCTGGGCCTCTGCTGCGTGGGACTGAAATGCGCATTTCTGTGGCAGGCCCAGGATTGGAGCAGTGGCCCCTTTTCCCACTGATCTGCTTCTGGGGCAGATCTGGTCCTGCCTGCTGCCAAAGTCTTCTCTAGAGGGAGGCCCAGGGGCTGCTGGGGAGGCTGGCCCTAGCTCTGCCCTTTCACACAGAGTGGGGCAGGATCATGATGGAGATCCTGATGGTACCCACCTCCCTCCAAGACTGGCTGTGAGAATTATGGAGAAAGAATGTTTTGTGGAGATGCGGCTTGGCCCACAGTCAGCTCCCAGAAGTGCAGGTGGTGGCTTTTGTCACTGTTGTCACCACCACTTCTCCCTCTTTCTTCCACCCCCATCCTTAGTGGGACTCTTTGGCTCCCCCTTGGGCTCTGAGCCCGGGCCCACCAAGTCCTGAGCACAGTGGGGCAGTTAACTTCAGCCAGCCCCCAGGTGCAGCCTCCAGGAGCTGCTTCCGTCCTGTCTGTCCAGCTGCACAATGCATCCGTGAAGTGAAGGGACCCTGAAACAGAAAGCGGAGCTACCCGGGCAAGCACTCAGGGGACTCCATTTGTGTTCCCATTGCCACCTGTGCAATCACACAACCCAACCAAAAGCCTGGCTTCGTCCCATGGCCTTGGGCAATGCCTTAACCTCTCTGTGCCCAGGTTCCTCATCTCTAAAGTGGGGTGACGAAGCACTGGTCCCCGGGGTTTTGTGAGCATTGACTGAGATGATCTGTGGAGCACCTAGCGTTACCCCTGCATCCCACAGTAAGTTCTCCCCGTGCTGTGACTTGGTGGGCAGTGTCCGGCTCCCCTGCTCTGGGGATGCGGGTGCCACCTGCATCTTGTGTGTCTTCCCACCACTCACACCTCTCACGGCCCCTCTGGTTTCACAGCCGAGCTGTTCATGGAGCAGAGACACCTCAAGGAAGCAGGTTTTTGCATCCAGGAGGCAGCCGGCCTCTTTCCCACCTCGCACTCGGTGCTCTACATGCGGGGTCGCCTGGCCGAGGCGAAGGGCGACCTGGAGGAGGCCAAGCAGCTGTACCAAGAGGCGCTCACGGTGAACCCCGATGGCGTGGACATCATGCACAGCCTGGTGAGCCAGCATCCCCTCCTGCCACCTCCCTCCGGAGGCCTCAGGCTTTCTCCCCACTGTCCCTCCTAACCCCCCCACTGTGTGCCAGCACCTCACTACTGCTGGTCCCTGGCATCTGGGGGAGGTGCTTGCTCCCTGTTGGGAGCAGCTGCGGTGTGTTTCTTGTAGGTAGGGGCTCTGCCCCCGTCAGGGTCTGCATTCATGAAAAAAACCTAGAAGGGGCTGGTTGATATTTTTTGGTGACTTCCTTTTTGCCATCAGGTGATCTAACCCCAAAGAGCTTTTGTTGTTGTTGATTTGGTCCTTGTCCTGGAGGCCAGTTCAGACTCTAGGCAGTTCCCAGAATGTTCTTCCCTCTGCGGGACTCCAGACCTTCCCTAGCCATTGGGCTTCCTTCTCCACGTCTCTGTGTCTCCTGGGTGGGATGCAGTGGGCTCCCTGGGGTGGGCTGTTATGTTGGGCCTGATGGGAACACACATTTAGAATGGCCTGAGGTAGTAAGAGGGTTCAGCATCCCCCTTCCCAGGGCACAGACTTGGGACTCAGGTGCGCAGGTACCTGGGCCTCCCGGTGGGAAGGTTTGAAGACTGGGAAGCAGAACCCAGGTGCTCTTGGTCTCCCTCTTGGGTGACAATGGGCAAGTGAACCGCCTTCTCTGAACAGTGATTTTACTCATTCATCCAGTGGGGCTTCTCATCCAGGAAACATTTATTGAGTAGCTGCTCTGACAGATGATACAGTAGGTCCTGGAGGTGGCCATTTTTCCCCTGCCTTCCTTAGCTCCTTCCAGAGAGCAGTTTTCAGGACAAATATAGCGTTCTGAAAGTGAATGAGCCTGCAGATGCCCTGGTGTCTGTGAAGGATTATTTGAGGAACCACGGTTAGCAACAGTGTTTCCCGGTGGGGGTCTTAGATGTCCCCCTGTGAGAGCACTCCGAGAATGGCCATTAGGATATCCCTGACATCTGCCACATGAAGATCACAGAAGGATCAGGAGAAAGGCTCCAGATGGCTGAAGGGTTCTCATTGCCAGAATGGGTCTGGCTGGCCCATGAGTCCAAGCTGCAAGGAATTGGATTGCAAGTTATCACTTAGAGTAGTCTGGGCGCATACTCCAGAATCATCTCATGAGGATGTTGCTGAGAGAACAGAAACCTTACTGGGGCTTGGGGGAGCAGTGGCCGGACCGAGCCATCTTTACAAGGTCCTTTCTGACCCCTAGAGTCCTTAAAAATGGAATAGAACAGATATTCCCAGCTCAGTTCAGCTCGTATTCCTGCTGCCTGATGTCTCGAAGATTTCTAGCTTAGCCTGTGTGAGTGTTCAGCCCTGTGCCACCAAAACACTCCTCATTGTGCTCTTTCAAATGGATTCCTGGCACCCTCCAGTCATCAGCAAATGTTTGTTCTGTTTATTTTTATTTATTTATTTACTTTTTTTTTTTTGCAAAGCGCATCCTCCTTCCTTTCAAAATTCAGACATTAGCGTCTCTGATAAATGCCTCACCGGAGGTCACATCCAGAAATCTGATTAGAGAGTCAGGAGGGAGGATGTGGGCAAGCATTAGGCCTGCAGCCAGGCAGAGACATCTGCCTTCCACTGCGTTTGTGGATCTGAGCCTGCAGTCACAGCCCCTAAGACCCGACAAAATCCAATAACAAGTACAATTTTGAAGTAACGGTGTACCATTTTTCATTTATGGTTATTATTGTTTGTAGCTATTTTCCTGAAATTGAAGCAGTTTCCAAGGGTCGGTTTCCATGGAAACCGAATAGCTGTCCAGAGTGGCTCCCTGCAGATGTGACGAAAATGGTCCTTTTTCTCTTCCTGGGGTGCCTCGCTGATTTGATGAAATTGGAGCAAGTCAGAGAGCTAGACCTGCCCCCTTTTAAAGTTCCCAGCAACCAGAGGGGCAGTCGACTTCTGTGTGGGCAGCCCATCCCCTTTCCACACACACTCTGTTCCTGCCAGCTTCCCACACATATGCATAAAGAATAGCAAATTGCAAGCCTGGAGAAGATTTACCAAGCATATTTGCCTAAAGACATGGGAACACTTTGGCATGTTGATCTCAAAGTGTTCCCCAGTCTCAGTGCCTTCCCCATATTGGGGGACTGATGTCCTTGGCACTCAGGACATCTGGGATCCAATCCTGACTCTGGCTCTGATTCACTTGGGCCACTTGGGACAAGTCTTAACTTTCATCCTCCTGATGTAAGTAGATAATAATCTTCATTGTTCCTAGACCATGCCGTGTTGTTCTAATCCAATGAGGTGTGCACATGAAAGTCTCCAGTGCAAGTCTCAAAGAAGACACACAGCATACAGGCCACTATCCTCCCTTCCCTCCCCAGTGACAGACATGGCTAGTCAATCACAGCACTTTTTCCCAGTAAGACAGTACTTTTTCCCCACTGAGCATGGGGCCTTGCAGTCTTTTCCAACATGATAAACGGTCAATCTAAGTCAGCCTGACATTTACGTAAGGCAGTCATCGTAAAATAGTAGAGAAGAAGAGAGACACATCAGTTGTCAGTCCTTCATGAAACTGAAGGTTGGTCCATCCTTGGAGAATTATCCAGGGAGAGGCACATAGTGGAGAATGGGTATCCCCTCATGGAATCTTTGCCCAGGCAGTGTCCCAGGTAGGACATCTTGGCTTTCCCATACCACTGAGGCTTTTTGAGGACATTGACCTCTGATAGGTTTAAGGGGAAAGAGAACCCCTTCTCCCCTGGGAGCCTGGCCACTCAAAACCCTGGGCTGGAAGAGCTCCCCTCTCACTAGCCCTTTGAGGTCATGGGTGAGTCCCGCTCCCTGGGATCTGGAAAGAAGAGAGTGAGAGATTCCTGCCATGCTGCGTGGATACCAGGTTTGACCCTATAGTCTATGGGGTGGAGTGGCAAACACCCGGATGCTGAGGAAAGCCCACTGGGAGCGGAAGCTTTGCTTTCAGGAGCCAAGCTTCAGGCATTTCTGAGAATATAAACTTTGGCCCAGGAGCGGGTTCTCTGCCCTACTGCCCGCCCTGGCCCCAGATACAATGGGAGAGATGTTTTCCAAGTTCTGGCTCCTGGCTCCTCCCTGGGTGCAGCTTAGGCTTTTCCACCAGACCAGGCGAGGAGGAGTCATCTCCTTGGCAGTTCCCTGCCAGGGAAGACTGTCCACTGTGCCCACAGTAGTGTCCAGAGAAGGTTGTCCATTGATGCTCAATGGCTGGGGACCTTCTGGAGACTGGAGTAGAAGCAGGCATGGTCTCTGCAGAGAAGGCCAATCACAGGAGGAGGTCCGGACAGTGTCTGCCAGTCACACCTGGCCCTCACTCCAGGCACCAGAAAGTCCCCTTCAGCCGGGGTACCCGGGTCTCAGCTCCCCAGCAGAAGAATCTAGTTAAGAAGGGGAAGCAGGGTCCTTCCCAAGGTGAGCAGTGGTGTCTTCCTGATAACTGCTCTTCAGAGAAGGCTCCGGGGCTTGTTCAAAAAAGGGACCTCAGGCAGCCCACACGCCTCTGTCTGAGGCTTTCGGCCTCAGAGGCCAGGACCCCTTTAATACCAGCCACCTCCAAGTGGCAAGTCAGGGAACTCGACAAGGACTACGGCTGAACAGGTTGCTGAGAGGTAGGGTGTTCCTATGAGGTCACCTGAACACGGTGGAGGGGTGTCACAGGGGTGTCACAGGCTGAGATGAGAACCCCATGGGATCTCTGGCTTGACTCGGTTTCCTAGTGTAAGGAAAGAAAAAATACTTGTCCCTCTTCTTTTCTGTGTCCTTGACCAGGACCCCTGTAACAAAAGATAGATAAACAAGAGGAAATCAAGTGTTTCTGTGTGGCAGCCTCATGGACAAAGGCCAGATGGTGAGGCCACCTGTATAGATTGATTTCTCTGTTGCTGTCCCTGGGCTGCTAAGATCTAAGAGTCTAATGTTGACCTCTGTGGGCCACCTTTGTCCTCCTTGGTGGGGGAGAGAGGAAGGACACCTTTGTAAATTTATTTCCTACTTTTGGGCAGATTGGGGCAGGCAGAGAGCTTTTCTTGTACCTGCTTTATTTAGTTTCCTTTGCCTCAACACAGTGGTGTGTTTCGGGGTGACGTTGTCTGCTACCCTTTAGCTCCACAGAAGGAAGCCTGAGTCCTGGCTGCAGACAGGCCCACCCCTGCTGCCCTCGGCTTGGCCAGAGCACGTGGCTGCGTTGGGATGGCTGGTCTGCACTGCAGGAGATGGCCTGGAACCCTCCCCCATGAGGCCAGGAGTGGGCAGGAGAGAGTTTGTGGGTGGCACCTGCCCTCCTTCCAGTGGCAGGCTCCAGAGGGACAGTTTTGTGTTTTCTTCTTGAAGACAGAGCTGCAGACTCTCTCAGAGCCTCTTCTCTGGCATCCCTGGCTGCAGCAGGGGACTGCTGCGAGAGCTTTGCCTCTTGTGATATAATCCCTGAGAAGGCCATTTCTGAAGCTTAGGGCTCCTCCCACATGCCTGGAAGGGCAGGGAGTCAGCTCTTGATGACAGTGTGGTGATGAACCATTCCCCTTCATCATCTCCTTCTCCTTCCCAGCCTGCAATGGCTGCCTTGTTCTTTAAGTGGGTCTAGGGGACCATAGCATGGCTACAGACCTAGAACCTCCCAGCACGTTCCCTGAAGCTCCTGTGCCACAGTACCCTGCTCTTCCACAGGGTCCTGGACTGGGCCTGTCAGGTGCTCTGGGGATCTACCAGGACAGCCCTGGTCCCTAAGGCCAACAAGGTGGAGCCTAGCAGCAGGGCCTTGTCCTGCACCCCACCCAGCCCTCACCAGTCCTAGAGGGAGGGACAAAGGGTGACAAACCTCAGTCAGCCCTGCTTGCCCTCAAGTTATAGGGCTCTTGGGCATTACATCTCTTACTGGGCTTGTTTTTTCTTCTTTCATGTGGGATCATTTAGGCCCTTGTGACCTCAAAGAAAAGTTTTAGGGCTTAGATGAGCTGAAAGCTATAAAAAGAAAAGTCACTGTTGGGCAATTTTGT